AGATGCATTGTCAGATAGGAGGAAGGCAGAGAATGTGGGTATGGGTCAGAGGGGGCTGAAAGAGCCCCTCTTCAGCTCTTCCTGGAGAGACCTGTCCAGGGAAAGCCCAAAGCACCTTAATTTCTATCCAGTCCCTCCCCACTTCCTCTGAGCTGATAAAGTTCAATGTTTGTGACTTTTCCAAAACTCATCAGACATCTCTGATTGGGAATTGATGCAAACCCCCTGAGGAGGGAGGAAGGCTCCTACGTGAGCACGGCTCAGACCCAACCACCACTTAAGGCAAATTGGGTCGAAGCATTTGGAAAGCTGCTTAACTTGGAAGCGCTGGAGAGCTGCCAGAGCCTGCGCTGCCGGCTTGGCAAATGACAAGCCTGTCACCAACGTATGAAGTGCCTAATTACTGCAATCCTTGGGAATCAGCCCGCCCTCCCTCCTCCGTCCCCAGCAGTTCACTGAATATCACCCTTATTTAAACAGAAAAACGGGAGGAAAAGGGGGAAAAAATAAAAAGTTTGACTGGAAACAAAGCTGTTGCCATGGAGACTGCACTCCTGTGGTCCCCGGGAAGGGGGAAAGCATCTCACTCCTGCACAGGAACCACACAGGAAGGGTCTGATGGTCTGCGTGGGAGCAGTGCTTTGCAGGGAGACATTTGCTGGTGTTATCCGGTTCAGCTAAGGTCTCCTCTGAGTTGCTGATCATCACAGGAGACTTTGAGGAAACTTTTCCTTGAGGAATGGGTCCAAAGCAGATGCCCAGCTATGGCAAGGTAGGGCAGGTTCAGTGACACTGGTGGGACTGTGCTGGTCATTGGCTTTGGCACTGTTCAAAGGCCTATGCCTTTCTTGGAGCAGGGTCTTTCTTTTCTTTGCCCTTTTGACCCACCAGCTGTATTTCTATTTTTCAGCCTTATCTCCAACTGCCACATTTCAGGCTTCTCTAGGAAACAGTCTCCTTGAATAAAGAAACTGTGCATGAACGTAGCATTGTTGAAAAGAGCTGCTGGGTGATCCTGCAGTGGCTTGGGATTCACTTTTAATTGCTCCACACAGAACTGCAGGGCTCTTAGGATAATTCAGCCCACAGCAGAGATTGCAGAAAGTCTCAGGCCCATCAGAGAGGACATGTCTTCTTTTTGGGCTCTGTTTTGAGGATGATTCCTTTGCCTCCCAAAGTTGTGGGAAAGGAAGAGAGCACATCAGGTTCCCTACTGTTTCCCGATCTCGGTGCTAACCCATCTCTGACACTAACCCCCGCCTCAGTTTCCCTTCGGGTGCATGGGGGTGCATCAGAGGTTCCTTAGTCACTGTTTAGGGGTGTTGATGTCTAGCAGTGACTGCTGTAGAATGGCTTTCACTGGGTTAATTCCCACTCCCAGCTCCTGTAATAATAGGGAGATGCCCCATCGCCGCATCCACCATGGCATCGCTGCAGCCACAGGTTGCAGCTGTTGACCAAACAAGTGGCCACAGTGGTTTGGTCCTGCAAAAAACATCCAGAGGTCACCCTACTCCAGGACAGCTGCACTTGCTGCCAAACCTTTGAAACACAAAGCCAGAGCAGTGGGATAGCGTCCAGCACGCACTGCCAGGGATTTACCAAGGCTGGCCTCAGGGA